ATGCCAGCAAATAAGACACACACACGCACGTGCACACAGAATTGAAGATAATCTTCCAGGGATTTCACCTACATTAAGGAAGACTGGGGAAGGCTTCTTGCAGAAGGTGGGATTTTAGCTGAGACCTAAAGGAAGCCAGTTATATGAGGAAAGACAGAAGATAAGGAAGAGAGCTCCAAACATGAGTAACAGCTAGTAAAAAGCACAGAGTTTGGATTCAAAGCCAAATAGGATTTTATATTTGATCCTGGAGGTAATATGGGTCGATGGAGTTTAGAGGTAGAGAGTAGGGGTGACAAAGTCATCAGCTTTAATTAGCTGAGTTGATGATGGAAACGAGGCAGAGATACTAACCTGCAGGCTATTGAAATATCAGGGTGGTAGCAGTATCAGAGGAGAGAAAGGGGCATATACAAGAATATTTATTAAATTAGCATCTAGGTGTCACAGTGGATACAGGGAGGGGAGACTATAGTCAGAAAGACTTGAGTAACATATCCTGCCTCAGACTCTTAATAGCTATGTGAACCACGTAGCTTATGTCTGTCCCAGTTTTCTCTTACATAAAATGGAGATGATAATAAAAGCACCTACCTCTCAAGGTTATTGTGAGGATCAAATGAGATAAGATTTGTAAAGAGGTGTGGTGGTGATAATAGCAGTAGCAGCAGCAGCAGCAGCAGCAGCGTAGGACTTGATTGGATATGAGGAGTGAAAGCTAGTGAGGGGATCTTAGAATGTAATATTCTAAAAGGCAAAAGATAAAAAAAGTTTACAACCAAAACTAGCTTATCCTATAGGGGTATACGGGTCTTTCATGGAGTAGATTTTGAAGGATTTCTGATGAAAAGACTAGAGCTGAGTACGTTCACTGAAATGCAACCATAAGAGTCCAGTGAAACTTGGAAAGGTAAATTTATTTGAGCAATTGGAGGGGTCCTCATGATGATGAAATTATGCTAACATTCTAATGAGGAGTGAAGAAACAAGTATCCCTTTAGAGCCTTAGTGACTTCAAAGGATATTGAGGAGTTAAATAAGATAAACAGAGAACCTAGGAGTAGATTGGTTCTGTTCTGAAGACTTTAAATGGAGAAAGAGAAAGGAGGGTAAAAAGAATACAATACTATTGTAGGAAGGAAGAGATGGAGTAAAACTTTCTGTTTCTCATAATTGGGGTGCATGAGAAGAATATATAAACATGACGGAGCCTTATTGATCTGAAATGGACAGAAGAGGGTTAAACATTGATGGGTTTAGGGTACAAAAAGAGACATACATTTTTGGATATGTCCACTGTGTGGAATCATTTTGCTTGATTATATTTGATACAAGGTTTTTTTGTTTTTTGTTATTTTTCCTTTCTCCTTTTTTAAATGGGTATGGAAAGAGAGGAATAGTCATTCCCTCCCCCCACCAAAAAAAAGCAAAGCCATTGAAACATTTTTTAATGCATAGAATAGAACAGAAGGAAGCATAGACAAGATAGCAGAATTTATTATATACTTTTTTTTTAAAAAGAAAGCACTATAAAAAGGAGATTGTGTGTTTAGGTTCAAAATTTTTTTAGTTAATTCATAGAAAGAACAGGTAATACCAGACTAACCTTTTTTGACAGGGCTACTTAGACTGGCTAATCAAAGCAATACTGTAACTGTAGCTCCTGGATCTTAAAATGTCTCATTTTTTGTGGAAAAGATAGGAGGGATATGGTCTGGACAATACTACAGTTATACAGATTTAGGACTGGTTGAATGAATAAACTCAAAGGAGTAAGTCTTTAAGGTTTGGTGTCAGCTTGGAAGATCTCTGGTGAAGTGTCCCAAGTGTATATGCTTGGCCCAAGGCTATTTAACATCTTATTGTTGGACTGGATAACTTCATAGACTGTTTAATTATTAAATTTGAAGGTGACCCAAAAGCAAGGGAAACTGGAGAGTTAGGATCTCCAAAAAAACCTTGATGGGATAGAATTTGGGCTAAATGGTGAAATTTAATTAGACTTAAATGTCAAATCTTACCCTTGACTTCAAAGACTCTCTTTTCCAAGTACAACATAGGGGAGGTTGATCAGACAGTTTGTCAGAAAAAGATTTGAGAGTTAAAGTGGCCTGCAAGATCAATATATGTAAGTAATGTGATGCAGCATCCAAAAAAGCTAACTTAAACTTGGATTATATTGAGAGGCATAGAAATAATTAAGTGATAATCCCTTGTTCTCAGGCCCAAACTACATCTGCTGTTTTGTGTTTAATTCTAAAACTAATCAACAAGTACTTATTTATATACCAGGAATTATACAAGCTACTGGGGATACAAGTACAAAGAATGAAAATCCCTATGCCCAAGGAGCTTACAGTTTAATTGGGGCAGGGGGGGGGAGGCAAAAAGTACATATATAAGCATATACAGAGTAAATACAAAAGTTGTGAATTTGGAATCAAGAGGACCTGGGTCTCTACCACTTAATATCAATGTGACAAGTCTGTTCCCTTCTCAGACAGCTTCTGTTTCTTCATTTGTAAAATGAGGGGTTTGGATCTCAAATATATAAGGAACTGAATCAGATTTATAAAAATAAAAGTGCCATTTCCCAATTGATAATAGTCAAAAGATATGAACAGACAGTTTTCAGGGGGGGGAAAAAATCAAAGCTATCTATAGTCATGAAAAAATACTCTATCACTATTGATTAGAGAAAGGCAACTTAAAATAACACTGAGAGGGGCAGCTAGGTGGCTCAGTGGATGGAGCACCAGCCCTGGAATCAGAAGGACTTGAGTTCAAATGCAGCCTCAGACACACAATACTTACTAGCTGTGTGACCTTTGGCAAGTCACTTAACCCCATTGCCTAGGAAAACAAACAACAAAAAAAGAATAATAACACCGAGGTACCCTTTACACCTATCAGAAATGAGAAATGCTGGAGGGGATGAGGGAAAATATTGAATTGTTGGTGGAGTAGTGAACTAATCCAGCCATCTGGAGAATCATTTGGAACTGTGCCCAAAGGGCTATAAAACTTGCATACCCTTTGATCCAGCAATACTACTACTAGGTCTGTATATGTGCAAAAATATTTATAGCAGCTGTTTTTGTGGTGGCAAAGAATTGGAAATTGAGGGAATGCTGGACAGTTGGGCAATGGCTGAGCAAGTTGTGGCTTATGATTGTGATGGAGTACTTGAATTGTTCTATAAGAAATTATGAGGTGAGTGGTTTCAGGGAGAAAAAAATGGCAAGACTTATATGAATTGATGCAAAGTAAAGTTAGAAGAACCAGGAGATTGTTGTGTACAGTTTTGGCAGTATTGTATTGATGATCAGCTATGAAAGACTTAGCAACTCTGATCAATCAATAATCCAAGACAATTCCAAAAAGATATATGATGAAAAAAATGCTATCCACCTCCAGAGAGAGAACTGATGAACGTGAATACAAATTGAAGTATAATTTTCGTGCTTTCCTTCTACTTTTCTTTCTTTTTGTCAACATGGCTAAGATGGAAATGTGTTACATGATTTCACATATGTAATTGATATATTGTTTGTCTTTTCAGTGAGTAGGGGAGAGATAAAAGAGAGGGAGAGAATATGGAACTCAAAATTTAAAACAAAGAATGTTAAAAAATAATAAATTAGAAAACTTAAAAAAAAACCTCCCCTCCAAAACAAAGAAAATCCTTCCTGCCTATTAATGGAGAGAGAAAACTCTTAATTTGATTAATAATAATACTCACAACTGGAAGTGTCCAGGCATTTTGTTAATATATTAAATTCAAATAAAGGAAATGATTCTTGACAAAATAGTGTTCTAAAAAAATCAGATTGTGAATTTGTGGTATAATCTCCTAGAATACAAGAACCGTTTCACATTTGTCTTTATATCTACAATGCTGAGGACATAACAAGTACCAGAGCTGTAGGAAAATTATGGATTTATGCCAGCCTGATAAATTTAGAGAGTAATGGTAACTCCTATAGTCAATCAGAACTTATAAATGATGAATCTCACTACTTCACAAGAATAATTAGTTAAAATAGAAATATAATATATGATGTGTCTTCGACTCCTAATTGATCTTCTAATTGCTAGCATCCTCTTCCTCCCCTAAAACCTAAATGACATATCTCCCCAGTGTGCCTTTTGTGCTACTTGATTCAGTTAGAAAAATTTTTAGTTAATGCTCTGGTAGGCACTTATTAAATTCACGTTCAGCGTAAGTGAATTATATGGCACAAGGTGTTTACAATTGTGACTAATTTCAGTGCTTGATAAGAATGGTGGTTCATAATTTAAATATGACAAAATCAATACTTTTGTGATAATAAACATACTTTATACTTAAAACAAAAATTGTATCTTTTTGTAAAAAATAAAGTATTTTTAGAGTACACTAAAAAACGAAAAAGGAAACAGGATAATAGAACTTTTAAGTAACCTAGTGATCGCCAGTTAGATGATGGATTTGCTTCTTTAAATTTCTGACACCTAAAGTAAAAAAGAAAACACTTAGAGTTACAATTTTCATTTTCTGATAAAATACAGCATATACTCAATTTATAGAGACAGACTTTTTTCCAGGAACTAAGTTAAGAGAATTAAGTGGAGCCACTAAGAACCTCTCACTAGTCAGCAAAAAAATTTAGCAAAGTAATTTGATGTCCTTTGAAAGATAAGGGAAAATAACTTGGACAGCAGTTTCTTATTTTGAATGCCTGTTGGTTCAACTATTTAGAACATATGAATGCCCAAGAATTCCTTATTAATAGCAAATATGTGCTGTCAGAGTACAAAGGAGTACAAAATACCATTCAGGCTAACAAAGAAAACTACTTTGGAAAAGGACAGCAATTAAAATAACTTCATATTTAATATAAAATTTATTATTTAGACACCTACCCTTTAGTATTGAAACATTTGCTCCAGAACTACAATTTATTCCAAAACTAGGAATTCATTTTTAAAAAAATTTTTTTTCTTTCTTTTCTCTACAGAAAATGCTTGGACAGAAGAGATGAATACTATTTTCACTAAGGCCTAGAACTGCCTATTGAACAACAGTCCTGATTAGGCAGTATACGAATGGCCCAAGGAAGCCACCAAATTGATTTTCAGGTTTTACATGACCTGCGACAAAAATTTCCTGAGGTACCTGAAGTTGTTGTGTCCAGGTGCATGTTACAGGTCAGTGTTCATTTATTTCTATAGATATAAGTTTTATGTTGATTTTAAGCAGTGAAAGAAAGCACCAAGTTATCATCCTGTTGTTTCATAATTCAGATTCATAGTATTGGATATGTTCCTATCCTGAATCTGTCTCCAATTAATTAACCACAGACAAGTCACTTAGATTTTATTTGTATATTTTCTTAGCTTTCAAAATAACTTTGGACTAAGAGATTTTTAAGGTTCCTTCTGCCTCCAAAAATCAATGATCATTATTAACCTGGGGGGGGGAATATACTTCCATTTTTCTTATTTCCCAACCATAAACTCATTAACCGTGATCTCATCAATGTGGATAGATGAGGCCGTCATCAGATAAATCTTTTACTGAAAAAAAGTATGTCAGTGATGTAGCAAGACCAGCACCTCACTGGGAGTGGAAGGCACAGACCTAGGCCTGGCCCAGTATCCTCTGCTGCAACCCTTAGTGACTAAGTCATTGTCTCTTTCATCCCTAGGTATTTTCTCTGGCTCTCTCCCATGCCTAGAATACTCTCCTTCCTCACCTCTGCCTACTGACTTTCTTGGCTTCCTTTAAGTCCCAGCTAAAATCTCTTCTTTTACAGGAAGCTTTTCCCAACCCTTCTCAATTCTAGTACCTTACCTGTATTAATTGTTTCCTGTTTATCCTGTATATAGCTTGTTTGTGTATATTTGTTTGCATGCCATCTCCCTCATTAGATTGTAAACTCCTTGAGGGTGGCAGGGACTATCTTTTGCCTCTTTTTGTATCCCCTGGGCTTAGCACAATGAATAGTACATAGTAGGTGCTTAATGAATGTTTCTTGCTTGATTATAAGCTTCAGTATTCATCTACCACCTTCTTCTGTCCTTCTGGAGTTCTTCTTTTTCTCCCACTATCTGTATTAATCACTAGCCATGTAAGAAAATTATCTCTAATTCCTTCCTCTGGTCTCTTATCGCCTTCTCTTCAACCTAGTTCCATTCATCTCACACTCCATCCCTCCCTATCCCTTCCACCATGCCCTCTGGAATTCCCATTTTTTAATGCACAAATGACCTCTGACACTCATTTACCAGCCCTCCCCTCCACCCACACACCATTCCAGCTATCTTTATCATTGTCTGTACCTTCTCTCACACTCACAACCACTTGGTCTTGGAGGTGGAGTCAGAATATTTTTTGCTTTCCACTGCCATTACAGCCAGTACTCAGCAACTTTTTCACTTTTAAAGCTCACAAAGTCAACATTTTTCACCCAACCCAAACAGTGATGGCAGTTATATACTTACTGACCCCCAGCTCCTTCTCCTTCCTTTCTCTAGGATTTCAGCACCTAGTTTACCCTTTTCCTATCCTCCTTAACTCCTGCTCTCATATAGGAGTACATCAGTATCCACATTGATAGTCCCCAAATCTCCCACTTCCTCAGCCTCCTTAAATCCTGTTTCCTGTTCTTCCACTCCACTTCAGCCACACTTTTTCTCATCATTATCCACAAGAGTTCTTCTTCCTTAATTAGAAACTCTGAGTTTCTTCTATCTGACCATAACCTATCACCATACCATTTTCATCTACTCAGGTACTCTTGAATAGAGCTGAAGGAAGCTTCACAAGTTACACAACTTGAACTGAGCCCTCACTATATCTAGACAGGCCTTTTATTCATCCCTAATTGATTCTGTATCTCAATCCCTACAGAAGTTGTTCCAAACCTTTATTCTTTCTCAAGCCTTCTTAAACTTCCCACTCTCCCCTCTCTTTCAACTGAGAATGTAGCCCTGTTTCACTGGAAAAAAAAAATGAGGCCTTCTCCATGATTTCCTTCTTGTCCTTTCCTCTTCATCTCAGAATTCCTTGACATAATCTCCCACTTTATCCTTTTCCCCTAGTCTTTGACATAAAGGTGTTTCTTTACCAAGGCCAGCAACCTCTCCATGTACATTTGATCTGCTCCCATCTTCTCCATGAGAGTTCATCCTCAGTGATCAACTTTGATTGAGCATAGGAGGGTTAGTTAATCTGTGGACAGCCTGCATGTCCCGCTGGTATCCCTACAGTATCAAGGAAGACGTGGATAAAGCAGGATGGATCACAATCTGCATTGTTATTTGCATTTTCTTTAATGAAATGCATAATATACCATTAAACTACTTGTACATCTTAATTTTTTTTGATTCATAATGTCATAAAAACTCAGATTCTTTAATACCTAGACATAGTTTTGCCTAACAATTTGATTTAATTAGAAATCTCTAGGTTTCTAGAGAGCTGGCTTTAAAGTCAAGAAGATATGGAAAGTTTCATTTTGATTCTTGACCTTCTTGTGATCTGGAACAACTTCTCAGTGCCTCAGGCAAATCTCAAAAGAGTATAAATTGCAGAGAAGGTGACAATATTCTTTGAAGGAGGGAGTCCCTCACCCAGAGCTCCCTCTATAGAAGCAGAAATCCATTCTTTAAAAAAACAATTTTAACACAGTGTTTTTAAGCCCATCAGTAAATATAAAGGTAAAAGACTTCAGGGAGCAGCACCCAATGTAATGGAGGGAAACAGCATACAAACAAGGTATATACAGGAGAGGGAAGGCACTACAATTAAAAAGGACTGAGAAAGACTTCGTTTAGGAACTGGGACTTGAAGGAAGCTAGGAAATCACAGAGAGCATTCCATGGAGAATAGCCAGTGAAAATGCCTAGAATCTGGAAATGTTGTTCAAAGAACAGCAAGGAGACTAGTGTCACTAGATCAGAGTATTTGTCAGGAATGGGGGAGAGTTTGAGGGAGGGGGCATAAGGGATAAGAAGACTAGAAAGGGGGATTAAGTTATGAAAGGCTTTGAATACTAGAGGATTTTATATTTGATCTCAGAGATGATAGGGAGCCATTGAAGTTCATTGAGTTTATCTAGGTCATGAAAACCTAGAAGGAAGAGAATATCAAAGAGAACAGGGTGATCAACAGTGTCAAAAGGCTGTGGAGAAGTCAAGAGGGATGAGGAAATTTGTTAAAAGATCATTGATAATTGTAAAGAAAGCAGTTTCAGTTTGAGGATGGAGGAGACATGGTCATATTTGTATGTAGTAGGAGCACAGCCAGTGAGCTGAAAGAGACTGAAGATAAATGAAAATGAGGATGATAGAGAGGGCATTTTTTTTTTGCTAGGCAGTGGGATTAAGTGACTTGCCCAGGGTCACACAACTAGTAAGTGTTATGTGTCTGAGGCCAGATTTGAACTCAGGTCCTCCTGACTTCAAGTCCGGAGCTCTATCCACTTTGCCACCTAGCTGCCCCAGAGAGGGCAATCTTCTAGAAGAGATGGAATGGGATAGAATCCCTTGTGAATATGAAGGGCTTGACCTCGGCATGTGAGACAAGTGAAGGAGGAGATAGTGGCTGAAGGTATCTAGGTGATGGAAGATGAGAAAGCTCTTGGCAACCAGCTTCAATTTTTTCAGTAAAATATGGGGCAAGGTTCTCAGCTGAGAGGGTCAGGGAGGGAAAGCCATGGGAGATTTGAGGAGGGATAAAAAGGTTTAGAGAGCCACTGTGGTGAATGCCCAAGTGAACGTTAGCTGCTATTGGTTGAGGGTTCCATAAATTTCTGTCTGGCCTGGGATGAGCCTGCCTAAAGTATTTTTAAAAAATCCACATTGGACATGTCAGTTCTGAGGCCTGTATTTGGATTTTAATATATCCAGGCAGTTAAGTGTCAAGACTTGTTATTGTGAGATTCATAACTTAAATGAAATAATAGCCTTGTATTTTATTTAGTTGTCAATTACATCTGATCTTAAAGAGTTTCTTTTTTCAAGCTATTTAAAGATAATAGGCATATAACTAATTTCTGATCATCATCTCATACTTCAAAGCATATTAAAACCATCTTTTCCCAATCTTGTAAGAGGTGAGCCAGTTAAAAAAAAAAAAGCTGACCTTTGGATAACCTGTAATGCATTTACTTGTGGTTCACTTGATTACCAAATGATTAAATTAACCTTGTACTATTTATTGTTATAATGAATTAGTGCCCACATTTAAAGAAAACTTGCAACTAAAGAAATCAAAAGTTCTGAAAATAATAAATTATATGCATGATTCTTGACTTCTCAAAATGCTTGTCTTTATCCCAAATCATTTTCAAAAATAACCCACTGCAAATATATGTATTCATGACATCAGGCATAACTAGGATAAAAGTCTTTAATTAGCTAATCTTGTTCACAGTGGAGTATGAAAAGCTAAGCCCAAATATATATGCTTCAGTATTTTTCAGTGAGGGTTAGGGTCTACTTTCTCATATGTAAGCTTAGAATTTTGAAAAGGGAATACTTGGGATAGATAGGAATTACAGCGTGGGATAAATACAGAGCTAGAAACCATATAGCCATTGTGTATTGTTTCTCCCAATGATAATGATGTTTTTTGTAGAGCATTTGCATTTTTAACTTAAAATTTTGATCATTTTTATTACTGCTTTGTGAATCATTTTTCCTTTAAAGTGGTAAATATTTTTCTTAAAATGCAGCTATTATGTTGTAATGACAAAATTTTAAGTCAGTGGGGAAATTATTTGTATCAAAATTTGTTTTACAACAAGTTTTTTATGAGGACAAAAGATATAAATGAAGTAGTTTTAAAATAATTGGTACTTGGCTTGTGTTTATATTTTAATGTAAATGATTATTCTGATAAAGTTGCCCTGTAAAGACTTATTTCAGAGAAATTCAATTCCTCCCTACTGAATTATTTATATTTTTGTGATCCATAATTATTTGAGTCCCTATAAGTACACATTCCTGCATCTAGACTAATTTTTCCACACCCTTAGAATCTGCCTTTTGGCCGTTGCATATTTTATTAAATTCTCTGTCATAAGTTAAAGACCAAACCATTCTATTTACCTATCCTTTAGTTTATGAAAGCAAAAGTTTATTCGGGTATAATTCATAAACTGAAATGTCATTAATTGTTATTAATTTCTTCTAATAACTATTGTTAATTAACAAAAGTCTTCTTTTTGGAATTTTTTAATGCAGAAATGACTAATTTATAAAGTTTTTAGCAAAGAATTACCAGTAGACTGTAGTTATAGAGTATATAATGGGATGATGTAACAGAGACCCTGAACTTTATGCACTTGCACATAGTGTATTTGGGGCAAAACAGGAAATTCTAGCCATCTACATACAGTCAGTGAATCGTTCACTAATGAATATATTTTTCAATTACAACAAAATTCCACAAAAAATTAAAATAATAAAATACCTTCCTTTATAACACTATGCATAACAAATAGAACCATCATTAAGTTTCCTTAAAACCAGTATGAAGAGAATATGAAGGTCTTACAGATATTTTGAAATAAACTATCAAAAAAATTTTTGAAGTCTAGAAAACAAAGCCTTTTGACACATATCCATAGATTTATGTGGCAGATTTTCAAGTACCTTAACTGCAACTAATGCTACATAATTTGTATATTGAATTTTTAATGTTTTGGAGTTGGTTTTTTTTTTAATTATTCTTTTTTATTCAAGGGAAGAGAATAAACTGCTAAGTGCTTTTTATAAATATTATTTCACATAATCCTCACAACAACCCCTTCAGATGTGGGCACTTTTCATGAACTTTTTTTTCTTTTCTTTTCCTTTCCTTTCTTTCTTCCTTTTTTTTTTTAAGGCAGTTGGGGTTGAGTGACTTGCTCAGGGTCACACAGCCAGTAAGTGTCAAGTGTTTGGTCTGAGGCCAGATTTGAACTCAGGTCCTCCTGACTTCAGGGCTGGTGTTCTATCCACTGCACCACCTAGCCACCCCTTTTCTTTTCCTTTCTCACTGAATTTTGTGGAACTATTTTTGTTCTTACCCTAACAAATACCTGCTACCAGTTATATATATATACCATTTCATATTTCCCATCAAAAAGTGAGTAGAATATTGCTCCACAAATATTTAATTAGGAAAGAGGATAATAATAGGGTTCTTTACTTTTTAAAATGGTCCTACTTAACTCCAAAACAAATCTAAAAAATAGAGAGGGGAAGCCGTGTCCATCAAGGAGTTCTATGGCCAACAAAATGTGGCTGTTGTTGTTTTACATTGTGTTGGGCGCAAAGATAGAAACTAAATTGTATGTTTAGGAAGTGATGTCCCCAAAGCACAGGTCTAATCGTGTCATTCCTCTGCTCAATAAACTCCAGTCATTCCCTGTAACCTCTAGTATCAAATGCTAATTCTTCTGTTTGGCATATAGAGTACTTCATAACCTAACTCTGAACTACTTTTACTGTTCTTTACCCACCTTCATACATTTCAAAGTCCAAGCAAATTGGTCTTCTTGCAGACAAAACATTCCGTATCTTTTTCTCTGTGCCCCACATGTGTCCCCAAGTCTAAAATACACTCCCTCTTCACTTCTTTAGTATCCGTAGTTTACTTTGATGGTCAGCTCGGATTCTTCCCTTCCACACGAGCCTTTCCCAGTCTTCCCAGCTACTAGTGTTTCCCCCTCCCACATTACCTTTTGTTTATTTTGCATGTATTTTGAATCTACCAATATATGTATGTGTTGTCCATTCTCATAGAATGGAAGCTTCTTGAGAGCAACAACTTTTGTTTTTGTATTGCCATAGAATAGGCCTTAAATAAATGTTTATTGATTTATATAATAGCACTGTGCTTCTAGCCAAGTAGGTGCTGACTAAATTCATGTTAAGTGAATTTAGTCGTGTTAATTTCTGTTTTCATATATTCCAATTTCATTTTTTATTTCAGTTATATTTGTTTCTCCTAAAATAGAATAAAATATTTCAGTTATTAATAGTCTGTACAAATTCATGATAGTGGCTATTTTACTCTCTTCTTTTCCTCTTGACCAATGCGGAAGATACTGTATTTAGAACTAGACTGCCACCTAGTCAGTCTGAAGTCTCTCACCGAGTAGAGAAATCAACTTTTTTACGCCAGTGATTATATTACTGCTTTTAATCAGTCAACAAATATTTTTTAAGCACCTATTTGCCAAGCCCTTGGGTACAGAGACAAACCTGGAAACCTTTCATGTCCATGAGATAGCTGTGCTTACCAGTCACGTAGTAGTTCATAGTTTTAGAGCTGGATGGGACCTTAGAGGTCATCTACAAAACTTGATTTCATTCTGTCTGTTAATATTTTATAGTAGTGGTAATAAAGTAGATAAGCATGAGTTTGGGGTTGCTGACATCAAACTATTTTGTTTGTTTTCTAGAATAATAATAACCTGGATGCCTGTTGTGCTGTTCTATCACAAGAGAGTACAAAGTATCTTTATGGTGAAGGAGACTTGAATTTTTCGGATGATTCTGGGATTGCTGGTCTACGAAATCACATGACTTCTCTCAACTTGGACTTGCAATCACAAAATGTATATCACCATGGAAGGGAAGGAAGTAGAATGAATGGAAGCAGGACTCTAACTCACAGTATCAGTGATGGACACCTCCAAGGTGGTCAGTCCAACAGTGAATTATTTCAGCAGGAGCCACAGACAGCACCAGCTCAAGTTCCACAGGGCTTCAATGTTTTTGGAATGCCCAACATATCCGGTGCTTCAAATTCAACACCACACCTTGGATTTCACTTAGGCAGCAAAGGAGTATCTAACCTTTCTCAACAAACTCCCAGATTCAATCCCATTATGGTAACTTTAGCCCCAAATATTCAGACTGGTCGCAATACTCCTACATCTTTGCACATACATGGTGTACCTCCACCTGGACTTAACAGTCCACAGGGAAATTCTATCTACATTAGGCCTTACATCACAACTCCTAGTGGTACAACTCGGCAGACACCACAACATCCTGGATGGGTGTCTCAGTTTAATCCTATGCACCCTCAACAAGTCTACCAGCCTTCACAGCCTAGTCCTTGGACTACTTATCCTGCATCTAATCCAGTGTCACATACCTCAGCGCAACAGACAAACCAGCAAGGCCATCAGACCTCTCATGTCTATATGCCTATCAGTTCACCTACTACGCCTCAACCACCAACAATTCATTCATCTGGTAGCTCACAGTCTTCTGCCCATAGCCAATTTAACATTCAGAATATCTCAACAGGACCTCGCAAAAACCAAATTGAAATCAAACTTGAACCCCCACAAAGAAACAATTCTTCAAAACTACGTTCTTCTGGACCTCGGACCTCTAATAATCCCTCCTCTGTCAATAGTCATACATTAACTCGAAGTCAGCCCACTGTTTACATAGCTGCCAGCCCCCCGAGTACAGATGAGTTGATGTCCCGCAGTCAGCCCAAGGTCTATATTTCTGCTAATGCCACCACAGGAGATGAACAGGGTATGCGGAACCAGCCTACGCTCTTCATATCAACGAACTCGGGAGCATCTGCTGCTTCCAGGACTATGTCTGGGCAAGTAAGCATGGGCCCTGCCTTTATTCATCACCACCCACCCAAGAGTCGAGCAGTAGGCAACAACAGCACTGCAACTTCTCCTCGAGTGGTGGTCACTCAACCTAACACAAAATATACTTTTAAAATAACGGTTTCTCCAAATAAGCCCCCTGCCGTTTCACCAGGGGTGGTGTCCCCAACCTTTGAACTTACAAATCTTCTAAACCACCCTGATCATTATGTAGAAACAGAGGCTATTCAACACCTCACTGACCCTGTTTTAGCACATATGGATAGGATCAGTGAGGCCCGGAAACTGAGTATGGGATCTGATGATGCTGCCTACACGCAAGGTAATACTAATACTAAAAGCAAATTATTTTCCATTGGACCTGAATTTTCTGTTAAATTGACAAACTTGTCGATGTTGTTGTTTTCTATGATAATAGTAAAACAACAAACATGTCCTGTCCCTGGACCTGTGAGACCAGTCATTTGAATTTCTATATGTAAGAAGCTCCGTCATGAAGTTCAGATCATACAAGTAATAACAGCATGATGAGAAGAACCAGTTTTGTTTTTATTCTGTTTACAGCATGACACGTGCTTAGTTAAACTTTTTCTTAAGAGAAGTTTTACTGTTCCATTATTATCTGTAGTTGTTCAACCTTCTCTGTATAAATTGCTGTGAAATTCAGGACTCCTTATTTGCAACCAGCACTCAAAAATGGAAGGAAACTGGTTTCATCTAACTTCTGTTACTGTGTTTAGAGAAGTTATTGAGGAATGGTTGTATTTATTTTCTTTTTCATAGGGTTTTTTCCTCATTAAATATGATATTTAAGAAGTTAAAGTTCTAGGATAATTAGAGTTCCTACCTCTAAAATTACCTTAATTGTTCATTAACTTGTCCTTTTTAGTAATAAAAGACAGACAAGAGCAAATTCTACTGTACTTTTTTTTTAATCTACTGATATACAGTATGGTTATCCCAGTGGCAAATTATTTCCTTATTAATTTAGGGCAGAATATTGACCCTACCATACCACGTTCCATATGAAATGTCTAAAAAAACCAAAACAGACATTGTGCATTTTCTGCACACATCTACCTGTGCCTTAGATGCTTAATTAGAAACTACATCACTTTAAGAGATGAAGAAAGAAGAAAAGTATGCTTGTTTGTTTTTATTTTAATGAAAAGTACCAATTTGGCAGCACAAAAGAATAAAAATTTTCATTTCCATAAAGGAAATTGTAGTTGGAGAATTACATGGTGACCTTGCTCCATGTCTTGCTTGCTCTGTAACCATTTATCTAAGTTGTCCTGATTCTCAGTAAGTTTGCTGGAAAGGTCTGAATATATTGTCACATTTTGTAAGTTTTACAGTAGGGATTGTGCTCAATGAGAACTATTTATTCATTTGCTATGTACTTTGTGACTGATAGTCACACCAGAAATATTTTTATCCCCATCTCACCCCTGGGAATCCCTGTGTTTAAATATCTCAGGACTGATTTCATTTATCTCCGTACAATTTTTACCTTTTTCCAAAATAGAGTTTTGTTTTGTTCTGTTTTTTTTGATTCAAGCATACATGTGTCAGAATTTTTTTTTCTTTGATTTTGGCAAATGATTCCTAAATAGACACCAATCTTTTTGTGAACATAGATAAGTTATAAACAAAAAAATACTAAGTCACGTTGCTGTAAGATGTGCCATATTAGTTAGAGGCAGCTAGCTAGTAGTGGACAGAGTACTGGATCTGGAGTCAGAGACTTGAGTTCAAGTCCAGTCTCAAACATTTACTAGTGAGGAGACCCTGGGCGAGTCATTTAACCTCTGCCTCAGTTTCCTCATCTGTACAATGGGGATAATAATAGCAACTACTTCCCATGAGGGTCAGATAAGATATTTTTAAAGCATTTTGCAAATCTTAAAGTTCTTTAAATGCTAGCTATTATTATTTTATATATGTATATGTTTTTTACCTTGTTTTCTGATACTTTTTTTTTAATAAACTCCAAAACAGATGGAGTTAGAGGAACCACATATTTATCTTGGGGCAGCTAGATGGCACAGTGGATAGAGTACTGGGCCTGGAGTGCAAATCTGGCCTCAGACATTTCTAGCTGTGTGACCCTGGGAAAGTTGCTTAACCTTGTTTGCCTCAGTTTCCTCATCTGTAAAATGAACGGAAGAAGGAAATGGCAACTCACTCCAGTATCTATGCCAAGAAAACCCCAAATGGGGTCATGACAAGTCAGATATGACTGAAAACAACTGAACAACAACATTATTATTTTGGTCCTACTCCACCGCTATTCTCAACCTTTGTTGTTCTTTTAACACTTTTGCTGTCATAGAAATAGAATTTTAGAACTGTGGCGGGGGAAAAAACTATGAAATCATCCAGGCCAACCCCATTTATAGACATGGAAACTGATGTCCGGAATGAATAGATAAGTCAGTTAAAGTCAATTAGCTGTTTAGTGATAACGGATTTCTGGACCTCCTTATCCAGTTCTATTTCTACTTTTCCATACTAACTCATTTACAAAAACATTATGACTTAAGCAGTAGTTACACATCAGTTAGTGGCAAATTTAATTAGAATCTAGATTTAACAATTCTTCAGATTTTGTCTGCAAAATCAAGCAATTCTTTGCTTGATTGAAAAGTGCTGTTTGAAATGAGATTGATTTAATTATTATAGTATAGAATTTATTGGTAAAGATGTATGTGTGTATCCACACACCAAAATGCATTTAAGAGATGGGCAAGAAGAAGACAGCAAAATGATTGAGGCAATGCTTACTGATACTTAGGAATTTCTTACAAATTAAGTTTCAGGCCATAAGCTATTTTGGGGTATGTGGTGGTGGTAGTGGGGTATGTATGTAACGAGAAAAGGAGCAGACAGATGATACAGTCCCAGCCAGTTGTTTCTACTGTGAATTTGGAGGTGCATTAGTACTTCAGATGTATACTCAGCTTATCTCCTGACTGAGCTTCTTTGTCATTGCTGGCCAAATTCAGGTATCAGTGCAGTTCTTGCCCTATGGGAGTTAGGAAAAATATAAGGACCTTTAAGAGACAGCTAGATTTGGAGTTTAGGTTCTCTTCTCCTGGCCTGCAACCCTTTGAACTTTTTGTGCAAAAAGCATTTCCCTAGTGGAATTCAAGTAATATTTGATCATTATTTTAGCAAGGAATTGCAATGTCTTTTGAACTCCCACAATTTAATTTTTATGGTATAAGCCAGAGTGGTCAAACATATGACCCACAAACTGTGGCCAGTGAATACTCCCATAAAATGTAATTGGGAATTATTTAACAAAATAAACTAAAATATAATGCAATTAAACATAATTTTAAATTGTGATTTTTTTTAAGGCAATATGCAGCCCACAGGGATGCATTGAATTTGACACTATTTGTGTGGGGAATTATTAAATTGTAGGGGAGCCTGACTCCATTTGTGAAAATGATATTCCTGAAGTTGTGGAAACTTGCTGTTTCAGTGGAGTTTGGAGGTAAATCAGAAGTAAAATTTGTTCTTGATTTTTCTTCTTTGAGACCTGGAAGATGGCACATACAAATTTACCTTCATTTTCTTATAGTGCTTGAAACCTGAATTGCTACTACACAGGCATTTCATGTTGTGTTTTCCAAAAGAACATAAAATGAAATTCCCAGGATCACATTTTCTAACTATTCTTTGAAACATGTCCTCAATACTGTATTGTTTTGTGCTTGAATTTATTAAAAATATCTTTTATACATCCTTATCTTGGTATGTTGCCGTTAAAATACGGTTGAAATCACACATTTTGGGAGAATTAACCCTATGGAGTATAATTAAGTATCACACTGTTCTAAATAATAGTGTTCATTTGTTTTAAAGAAATTGGGTTTTTACTTTTTAAATGTATATCATATAATATACTTGTAGTATATACACATGTAGTATAGTATAAATATATATTGTAGTACATTATACGTTATCATTTCCGACTAAAGGTTCTATTAAAAAAGGCATCTATTAATAACATTATTTACATTTAAACAATTCAGTTAAGTTCAACACATGTTTTAAGTGCCTACTATGTGTAGCAAGTATGCTAATGGTGTTTTTAAAAACTCAAAGAATAAGCACTCCACATACTATTCAAATCATAAGTTTGGTTTTCTATTGCAAATCACCATTGGCTAAAGCTATTGTTGCCACTTTATCCACAAATAAGAAAATACAAAGAGTTATGACAAGGTTGTTTGGTTTTGGTTTTGGTTTGAAGCTGATCAACTCTAGGTGGGAGAGAAAAGAATGTGCTGATTTCCTTTAGAAAATATTGTTGCTTTCTAAACTTGATAGTCATTGCAAGTTGTAACAGAAAATTCACCTCTATTGAACACGACACCATACTACACCCCCACAACGTACTTTGTAGCGTCCAAAGGAAAAGTAGATAATATTTCTAGAATATGTACGTACTGTCTTTCTATAGTAGTTCTCTTGGAGCTACTATAGAATTTTACTTTATTGACATTTTAATTAAGCTTTTCCATGCCTAAATAAAGGTAAATTAGAAAACATGCCTGCCCTGATAGGCTCTGGAATCAGAGGCTCTAACTACAAATCCCACCTCTGATGGTTGCAGGGTCAAAGGGGGCGAGGAGGAGATGGGTCAATATTGAACACATCATGTAACTCCCTGGGCTGTAAAAGGAGGGGATTGGACTTGATGGCCTTGGAATTCTCTTCTGACCTTAGGTCTGTGATCCTAGATGACCAGAAAGTTTTCCAAATTGCTCAGACAGGTGTTCTCTTTGAGAAACATTTGTAGTTGTTTCTATTAATGCCTCTTAAAGGTATTTAAATTTAACAGAATTTGAGTAATTTTAATAGCCAGAAAATGGATTTGTAAACAAATAATACTTACCTCACTAAAATTCAATTTGGGGTATAGATTATAAACATTACAATGGAATACTTGTTCTGTTTCCTTCTTTTTTTTATCTCACTAAAAGCAAAATAGTGTAATCCAAGCTCTCTTGGCTAAAAGATTTTATTATGTTGTGTGAATGTTAAGTATGTACCTTGGGTTATTTGCATGATAGAAATTGCTTAACAAAAACCCATGAAATGACCATTGCTTGTGACCTTATTGTCACATTTTAAAATACATGTAAACACCTGATAAATCATGTTAAAAACACATTAATGTTCAAGGAACCTTGAAAACAAACCACAAATTCTTAGGTGCTTTTTAATGCTTCATTTCTATAACAAAGAGGATTGAAAATTCTTATTGCCTGTTCATCTTTATTCAGTAAGTATTGACCAAGTACCTTGAGCAAGGCAGTAGGTACTATATTAAATACAAAATTGACTATGACATTGCTCACTGCCTTTTAGAGGAGTGTATAGTACATAATTTTTTTAAAAAAATTTCGTTCTCCAGTAACAACCAAAAAATGCTATTAGAAGAGAGAAATGAAAGCTCAGTAAAATTTTAATAATTCTGAATGAAAAGTTAAGAACATGGATTTAGAATTGGAGGTGATTTTAGAGGCATTTGGATCAGAAGTGTCAAACACCGAGCATGCTACCAGCAACAATTGCAGGCTCACACCGGATTAAAATGTAATTGGGAAATATTTAGCAAAATAAGGTTTTCTAAGTCAATATGGGTCCTGCAAGGATCCTCATGTATGGTAAAGCTCTTGGTTCTATTTGAGTTTGACATCCCTGATGTAGACCAACCCTCTGATTTTACAGGTACACCTGAGACCTAGATTGACTTCTCCTCTCCTTCTTAAATCTTCATTCTCTCTTTCTCCAAGGCCACCTCTGTCCCCAGAAAAAGTTTTTACTTGACCCTACAAGCCTGTAAGCTATTATTCCCTATTTTTTCATCCTTTCACAGCCATAAACCTGGAAAAAAAACTGCCTATTTCTTGACTCCATTTAACTCTCCTCTCACTTCTCAACCCCTGATTGCCCAAATCCAGTGCCTTTTTTTCACTCTTTGTTCTTCACTCCTCTGTTGCATTTGACATTGTTGATGACAATCTTCTCTGAGTTTTAGTGACATTACTCTTTTCTCTCCTCCAACCTGACTACTCTTCTGTCCTCTTTGGTGACTAGGGCTCTCATCACATTTCTCTGTAATCATCTCATCAGTTCTAAGGTTTATTTATCATCTCTATGCAGATGATTCTGAGATCTGTATATTGAGCCCCAGTGTTTCTTCTGAGCTCCAAATTCTGTATCACCAACTGCCCATTGGACATTTTAGACTGTGTGTCTTACAGGCGCATTCCAAAATAGTACTGATTTTTTTCCTCTTAAAACCTACCCCAATCCCTTCCCAACTTACACATTTCAGTCAAGGGTACACCATCCTTTGAATCACTCAGGTTCAGTACCTTAGAGCCATCCTCAGCTCTTCAGTCTTCCTCACCTTCTCATTCAATCAGTCGCCAAATCTTGTCAATTCTACCTCACTATCTCTTATGCATTCTCTTATGTTCACTTAAACAGCCACCATTTTTCTCTATTCACACAGCTACCATCTTAGTTCAGTTCCTCATTGCCTCTTGCTTGAATTATTCTACTAGCCTCTTTTTTGGTCTTCCTGCCTCATCTCCCCCCTCTCCAGTCCATGTACTCTGCATAAAAATTACTTTCTATTTCCCTGTATATGCTTTATATCTACTTATGAAAGATAGGTATTTAAATGTTGTTGATGGATTACTGGGTTACACAGATCGCCAGTAGCAGAGCCTTTTGGAATCTAGATCTTCTTACTCCAAATCCAGCACTGTTGCCATTGTACCATGCTTCATTGGGAAGTTTGTAAATCCTTAGTTTTTATTGTAATAATTCCTCTGATTTGATAATCCCTGGAAGATCCTACTTACACTGCTAATTTGCATAGCATGCACTTTTTTTCATAGAAAATATACTATGTGCGGACCATCAGAAGTCCAGATTAGTAGATGCCAGATTTATGAGGTTAACAATCTTATTTAACCACCTCCTAACTACATCTTATGTTGCTGTTCTCATTGTTTCTGGGTTACATTGTGGGGCCTCTATAGCCTACCTTCATCTCATTGAAATCAGTCTAAATATTTGTAGGAATTGGATTCAAGTGTGTTAGACCACCTTGGCTTATTGCAGTAGATGTGTGTAAGTACAACTCCATATTGTTCTTAAGCCACTCCATCTGTTAGACAATGAGGAAGTCAAGCTGTAGCAAACTTTGCATAATGATCTTCAGCAGTAACCCTTCTACTCACCTCACCTTTCCCCATGGAAAAGACTCGACTGTCTACGTTTTACTTCTGTTAGTGAGGTTGTACTGTATTTCTGTGTCTAAATACTGGCCTACCATAACAGTTTTGTTCTATGTAATATTCTTTCTAGAAAAAAGACCACTGCAATTTGCTATTTCTCTTCCAAATCATATATCCTTTCTCAAGCAAAGAAGTAAAAGTTATTTAATTTCTTAGTAATGTCATGACACCACAACTCTGCTGCCCTTGCATTCTCCCCTCTATGTACTAGCCTAGTACTTGTTCTCCCTCTTCTTATATCAATCCTTAAAAAGTGTGCTCTCCCAAGTATGCCTCTGCTACACATAACATATACCACTCCACTTTGGAAGTAATGGAATTAGAAAGAAGTTAGTCAGTGTCCTTACAGTTTATTTCTCTCTCCTCCCACTTCACTTTCCCCTTTCCTTCTTTCTGCCTTTTGTACTCCCCCTTTTATTAGCCTTCACATTCCCTCCCCATTAAATATCAAATGCTTCTGCTGATGTTCAGAGCATTTTCCCCACTTTATTTGCTAATTCACTGGCTAGTAATAAAAGGCTAACATTTTTGTTCTGGTTGTGAAGAGGCAAAAATGGTGATCATGAAGGCTTTTAAGAGAACAGGAATGATAATGGCATAAGAGGGCTCTGAGAGTTCTTTACTCCAAATAACTCTTAAGGGATCTATATAGCTAATCTTTGTAACTCATTTTAAGATAATGCTTCTGTATAAGAGCTAGAGCTAGTTTTAACCTTAAAGACATTTTGAAATATTCCTTCTGGTCTTTCCATATTAATTTGGACCAAAAACTGTGCCTTTCGCAACTTTGGTTTCATAGCTTTTCCAGGATTCTCTGAATCAAACATGCCTACCTAAAACATTACTCTCGCTCCTGCTTGCAAGCAGTTTGTGTATCTCCCAGCTATCCTATTCTGAAAGACATGACTGGGGGCTCAGGGACAGCTACCTTTTAACTAGGAGAATGCCTAGTCGCCAACTTTTCCTCATCAAGGCTATCTGAGGTAGAAACTTTAAAAATTCTGGTTGGAAAATCAGCTTCATCATAATCAAACATAATACATTATTCACTTCTTCTGTGCATGATATTTAATAGATGTAATTTTATTTAAATAGTCTTCATTATAACTTAAAAATATTGTTTTGGCCTTTTTGTTATTTGAGTGGCCTCTCTAGCTAAGTTTATATTTTGAGGATGAAGGATTTGGAGATGAGAATGGAAGGTAAGTATTTCTTCTATGTATTCTTTTTTGCTCTTCTTCCTATCTCTTTTTCCTTCATTAATAATCTAATAGCTACTAGAATCCATACTTTTTTTTTTAAGGTAATAAACCAATATTTCCAGTGTGGTCAGTTCTTTAGGATAGGGAAAGAAAAAGCAGAGAAAAATGTAAACCTATGCATTTCCTATTTTAATGTCTGATCCTTTGGTCAGCAAGAGAACGTGTGTGTGTGTGTGTGTGTGTGTGTGTGTGTGTGTGTGTAATGCCTACTATGTGCCAGGGTCTGTGCTAAGCCCTTTTTATAAATAATATCTCATTTAATTCTCTTAACAACCCTGCAAGATAGGTGCTGTTATTATCCCTATTTACAGTTGAGGAAATTGAGGCAAACAGAGGTTAAATAACTTGTCCTGGATCACTCAGGTAGTAAGTATCTCAGGCTGGATTTGAATTTAGGTCTTCCTGACTCCATGACCATCACTCTAACCCCTGTATCACCTTGCTGCCTAAGCTCATCTAGCTGAGCTTTGGAATCCATTGAGTATTTTCTTAGTTGCTTTTCTACCACCTCAGGTCAAACTCCAGTTAATAATCTAGGTTCTGTAATATCCTATATGGTGCTATTCAGTGATCAGGATAGTAGTTGATTATTCCTTTAAGAAATTAATTTTATGGAAATGGTTTGCATGATTGCACATATATAACCTATATCAAATTGTTTACTGACTCGGAGGGGGAAGGGAAGGAATAAGAGAATTTGGAACTCAATATTTTTAAAAATGAATTTTTTAAATTGTTTTTACATGTACTTGGGAAAAAATGAAATACTCAAAAAAAGAAATTATTGGTTCATTCTGTTTCATTGAACCACTAGATATTAGAGCTAAAAGAGAACTGCAACATTTAATCCAAATCTTCCCCCTCACGCCCACTCCCACTCCATTTTAAGAAAGAAAAAACTGAAGTCTATAGTTAAGTGACTTACGTAGGATATTGATAGTGTCCCAAAACCATTGTTTTGGTAGAATCAGATGGGACCTAATATGTTCAGGAATCAGGTGTTGAAGGCATATTGTTTTCTTGTTTTTTGCCTTTCTCTTCCCAGGTCTAGTTTAGTGCTTGACACTAGTGCTTAAATGCTTATTAGACTGATTTCAATGTGGAAAATTTACATAATCTCTCTTTCAGAAAACAGTATTTGGGTTATCTAAATGATCATATTCATCCTCAGATCTGACAAACCAGAAGTCAGTATTGTAACATGCAGGTCTAAAACTTTTGACCAAAGTGGCCAGTTAACAAATTGGAACACTTTTTACTTTAGATGATCAAAATATTGTTGGCATTAAAAATGTCCCTGTTGTAATAAAAGAGATTGGAATCATTTAGGAAATCTTATTATTTTTCAGAAATACTGATTTCTATTTCTACTTCCAAGATTTTCCAAGGTTTTTCAAGCGTTACTTCAATAAGCAATTAAATAATCTGGATAGGACCTTATGTTTATTAATAATGTGTTGCAGCTTTACTGGTACACCAGAAGGCCAGGATGGAACGGCTTCAACGAGAACTTGAGATTCAAAAGAAAAAGCTGGATAAACTAAAATCTGAGGTCAATGAAATGGAGAATAACCTAACTCGGAGGCGCCTAAAAAGATCGAATTCTATGTCCCAAATTCCTTCAGTAAGTTTAAGTCATAACTGCCATTATCTGTATATTTTAGCATAAATACCAGCTGTCCTTTCATAAAAAAAAATCTTGACTTATTTCTCCAAAATTACAGTGAAAACCTTTTTTTTCCTGTTTCCTACCCTCTATTAGACTTCCCTTTCCCCAGACTAACTTGACTTGAATATTTGAGGATTAAACAGAGATCTATCTTACATGAAATTATTTTTCAGCTTGAAGAAATGCAGCAGTTAAGAAGTTGTAATAGACAACTGCAGATTGACATTGACTGTCTAACCAAAGAAATTGATCTTTTTCAAGCCAGAGGTAAAGTATTGACTCAATGCATAATCATCTGAAATATTTTTCATTAATTTACTTTTTCTTTCTTGTCTTGCCAAAAAATCATTTGTAATTCATAATCCTATTGTCTAAGTATATGACTATTTATTAGAGTACTTTTTAAAGGAAAATTGGCATTTCCACTATGTTCTCAGCTTGTCAGAAAATATCTCTGTGTGGTCGGTCTAAGCTACCTTTTTATTCATCAAAAGAGACAGGATTGTTCTGCTACATCGTTTTTGAATATTTGAAGAATTAATAAAAAGAAATATATTTTCAAGGAGATTTTTACTAAATATTGAAGCATTTATTTTTGCCACTTCCTTTTTTTTTTTAAACCATTCAAAGTCCTTGCTGTTGAAGACATAAAGACAAAGGCCTCTACTTCAGTCACAATTTTATTTGGCATTGAAAGAGAAGAAAATAAATAAGATAAATGGCTTAAAATTATAGTTCTATGGTGCACATTTTCCCCTCTATTTACTATGTGTTTTCTACATGTTCTCAGTAATAAAAAACAGACATTTTATGGAATAACTTTGTTTATAATTTCATTTAGCCCTATGTAACCTAAATTTATAGTTGGAGAAGTAGAAAACGCTCTGAGAGGGGAGGAAGTCAACATAGTTGGAGTTTAAAATGTAGTCTTTAAAACAGGGTTCTAGAGATTAAGCTCCAAATTATTTCTAATTCTTACCCCATTTCTTAGAAGTTCTTTCCCTTTTTTACCCATGATTGAAAATTAAGGGTAAACTCACACTTCACTGAGAGTTGACTATAATATGAAATCAGTGAAAAGGATTACCAATATTTATGTTTTTATGATTATTAGAAAGAATATTTTTTAAAACAAATATTTTTGAACTTTAAAAAAAACCCTATCTTTTGTTTCAGGACCACACTTTAATCCCAGCGCAATTCATAACTTTTATGACAATATTGGATTTGTAGGTCCCGTACCACCAAAGCCCAAAGGTATGTGAAAAAAAAAGTCTTACCTTGCAAGAGCAAAATTTTTAAATCCTGTGTTATTTTTAACAACTTCTACTCTAGGAGCACATCAGCTGAGCACCATGTACTTTAATATATTTCCATTACTGGTGAATTCATTAAAAGGATTTTTCCTGTTGTTTTAGATTTGGGGAAAAATTTTTCAGAGTTGTATTAGTACAATTAACCGTATTTTTTATTAACTTTTGCGTGCATTTAGTTTTTACTATATATTACCCAAATATTGAGTCTTAATAGATATTTACCAATTGCAAAAATTTGTGTTCGAAAAGTCACATGAACACTGTCCTCATCTCCCAAGTTTGGATAAGTTTTTAGACTCTTAAGGTCATAGAGAAGTTCTTTTTCAAAAGCAAGGATACAGGTGTTTTTGCTTTAAGAAAACTTCATATATGAAAATCTGATTATTTAAATTAAATTAGGGATGCTTATTTGTATTTTTAAAGGATTCATTGTTTCCTTTAAATGGTGAGCACCCAAAATATATTTAAAATGTGATTTAAACACACTTTTTCAGGAATGTAAGTGTTGAATAAAGTGAGGCAGACTACTGGCTTATTCATCAGTGTTATGAAGTTGTAATGTTATGATTTTATTGACACGATAAGTGTACTGGTCAGCCTTTTTAGGAAAATTTCAACTGAAATTCAACTGAAATTGGCCTAGTGGCAAGAGTCGAATCTAATGTCAGGGTCCCTGAGTTTGGATTCTAGCTCAGCTTCTTGCTATCTGTATGATGGTGGTCAAGCAACTTCCCTTTCTCTGACCTTCACTGTTTCTTAGTCATAAAATAAGGAAGGTTGATTCTGAGTCACCTTACAGCCATAAATCCTATAATCCTGTATTAGTGTTTTATAAAGGCTGATTGGTGTCCACTAGAAATGAATTCCACAATTAATAGTCAGTTCTGAAGATTCAGAGCATATGCCCCCACACAACAAGTAATCTACAGTGAAAATTTTCTCAAAAGACGATATGTGTGTTAAGAATTTGTGCTTCTTTTACATAGCAAAGAGTTATAAAGGTCAATGAGTGAAAAGTTTCAGTTTGAATTACAGCAGAAAAGCAATAAATGATTAAAGCCAGAACAAGCATTTAGAAATAAAGCTTCATTATGTATGTATTCTGAAAGAATCCATGTCAGTTTAGATGATAAGGGTAGTGACATGACGTGAATTCTAATGATAATAAAATGAAAGGAAAAGGAGAGCAAAGGAAGGATGAAGCTGTGGGAATGGCTAGAATAAGTAATATTATTTTGACATTATAGCCTAAAAAAACACAGATGAGTATTTTATTATACAAAAATATTTAATTCTCCCATCGGGGAGAATGAAAATAATAGAAGCAAATTAACCAGCAGTTAAAAGTAGATTGCCATTTTCCAAATTCAACCTGAAAATATGACTAGTTGGGACAGTAAACTGCTTTACTTGAACTCATCAATAAATAAACAATGTCCTTGCTTTTATATGCAGGTGAAGTTGAGGCAGCAAAATTGACTTCAAATCTTATCCTTGAAGAAGGAGGCTGTTTTCTAATGGTTTTAGAATCATCTTTAAGTATTTTATTCCACCGAAGCTAAAACCTATTAAGTTTCATGAACAGAAACTAAAAACCTTGTGAGTTTCCAATAGTGAATCTAGTATTGAAATATGCAAAATTATTTCTGCCAATATTGGTTCAGCTATGAATTAGCATTTTCTGTTGTGCCTTAAGTAGAGAATTGTGTGTTGTGAAAGAGAATACAATCACAAGGTGCTTCTTATGGCTGCTGGGGGAAAAATTATTTTCTGGAATCTGATTTTTCATTATTATATTAATGAGAATTCAAAAGTTTGCATTTTACCACATTTTGAATTACACTGTAATTCTTTTTTCTTAATATGTACTCCTTTTGGCTAGGACACTTCTAAAATTGATTCTTCCCCATGCATGTTTTCTGTTATATTCTATAAATACACCATTATTTCTTTGTCGGAATACCTCACACTGTCTAGCATAAGTCATCAGTGTTCATATTCTAGAAAAATATGTTCTCTCCTTTTAGAGCAACACAAATTAATATGCCTTGTGATAGTTCTGAACTTTACCATATTGAAAATTGATATGTTTGTATTTGAGCAAAGTATTAGCAGTTTCCTCTTAATGAAAAAAAAAATTCTTGATTGTCCTGTATACAGATAGACTTTATATGAGAGCTTCCTGGTTATTAAATTGAGCCTTGTGGTATTTGATAATATGAAGTAAATATGATCTTTATTGTCTCAGATCTTTACTCTAAATCAAGTCTGCCCTAAATACCAGGTTTTATTTTCATATCTTTTTCTTTATTCCTCAAATTTAAACCTTAGGAAATACTACTTCTCCATTGATGGAATGATATACTTGATGAGGGAAAATTATACCTCATGTAACAGTCAGATTTCTTACTGTGACATGTGATAATCTGTATACAAACTTTAGTCAACTTTTAATTGTCTGTTACCTACTGAGCTGGAAAAAGACTTTAAACCTTGATGCTGCACGCTCTCTCTGGCCCATTTTAAATAGTATTAGAATGCTTTATGGAAAAATACTGACTGGCCGTGTTTCCATATAACCTCAGTAGTCTGGGGTAGTTGAGATTAAGGACATTCAGAATTTGTAAATTTTCATACACATGGCCACCTCAGAACACAACCTCAGGAGGTGTTTCATCCTAATGTGCATTGGTGAATAACCAAGCATGCAAGCAAACCTAGTGTTCATCATTGTTCAGTAGAGCTGAAGCATAATTGTCATGGAGACAAAAAGGAGAAGCAACCTCAGAAAATTGTGATGTTTAGGTATCAGAATCATATTGTTGTCAGTACAAGATTTAATGGGCATTGATTGTTGTCATGAATAAAGTATGTGTTATTCATGAACAAAATATTGTTATTTATTAATAAAACAAATTCTTTGGTTAGATTTTTAAAAGTGGCCATAGCTATCCTTGTAGGAAGCATTTTTCATTATTAACCTTGACAGAATTTCTTCACTGTAGAAAGATCTTTACTATATAAAGCTCTATTACAAAAGCACACAGATTTATATATTATATATTTTCATTAGAAATAGAATATTTTTTGCTTGAATAAAAACTAAAAAGAAAAATTAAGCCTTTGCCCTAAGACACATTTAAAAGTACCACTGCTCTCAGTAGGCAAAGTTAATTTTGTTTTTACTCATGAAATTAATTTTGCTTCTTAAATCTGTTTAAGATAATTAATATCAGCTTTGGTAATATGTAGCAACCTGATCATGCAGTTTTGAAATCCACCTTGCATTTTCCCCTTGATTTAGCTGATGTTTCATTTCAGAATAAATCTATAAAATGAATTGATGATGATGCCTTTGCCTTTGCAAATGAAGCCCAAAGTTACTCTAGGTACAGTGTATTGCATATAGTCATGCTGTCTTCCTATAAGAAGAAAGCCTAGAAGAGAAACCTTTATTTTGCTATGTATTGAGCAGACTTGAAAGTCATCATCTTATAATTCCCCTTTTATTTGCATTTTTATGTAATCCACCAACACAAATAACTAACTCTTCATATCAGGGGTTCTTAACCTAGAATCACAGTTCTTCCAGCCGCCCCCCCCTGAGAAATTAGTGGATAAATTTCAAGAGTCCATGAACCTGCATGGGAAAAAACAATTACACCTTTATTTTCACTAACCTGCAAGTGGGGAAACAAAAGATAGTCTCTGCTCTCAAGAAGCTCATATTCTAATTGGAGGAGACAACACATAAAAGAAAGTTCAGCTGTAGGGCAAGTGGTAAGGCCTGGTGGACCTCCATCTCATCACATGGAATAGTTGTTGATTTCTCTCTCCTTCAAAAGCTGTGACATGTCAAGCAGCCAGGAAGAAAGGAAGAAGACAAGAGGACTAAGGCACCTCTTGTGGTGATGGTGCTTCCCAACACACAGCAGTCCCAAATAGATACTTCGATAGGAACACGACAAAATAATTAAAGAATTTTTGTACCACTTTCTTAACTCCAGGCCTCATCTTAAAATATTTCGTTTAATTTAAAACCATTTCAAAAATGCTTTTTTTGTTGATTTTCATTTTTAAAGAAAATAAAAACAGATAGAAAATATATCACTTGAGACTTACATTTTCTTTTTTAAATTTTAGTAATTTTTATTTTGAAGTTATTTTGAACTTGACAGTCAGCAACAAACATGAGTAAAGAAGACTAAAGAGGATCACATGTGAAACCACGAGTCTCCATTATGTACAACTTGTGTTTTTAAAGGAAGAAAGCCAATTCAGTGTGCCAGTTTCAAAGCTATCCCACTTGGCTTTCTCTTTTTGAACCTTATGTTCTCTGCTTTTTTAAAAAAAAATTCTTCAGTGATCCTTTCTTTTCTTTCTATATTTTGGTGTAATTATTTCTAGTCCTTTTCTCCAATTAGAAAAAAAAACACCTTATAACAAATAAGCATAACCAAGCAAAATAAATCATGCGTTGACCATGTTTGACAATGGTGTGTCTCAGTCTTGCCTTTGAGTCTCCCACCTGACAGGCAGTGGATTGAATCACATTTTCAAGACAATATAGAGAAGGAAAAAAATGTTCAGAATACAGAAACAGGTGGTAGGAGGAGGAGAAGCTTTTATGCTACTCCAGTAGGAAATAGAACTAGACTTCAATGACATGCACATGTGCTATTTTAGCTTAGTAACAGAAGGTCACTGCAGAAGCTGTAGTGGGCTATTAAGAATCTTTTTCGCTACCATAGTATAAGCAAAATAGAACTGAGGAGTAAGACACAGGATGTACAGCATTATTACTGAAAATTGCTCCAAATCAAATTAGCTTCTCTGTATCTCTTTCCTGTGTTATAAACTGGAAGGAGGAGGGGAATGATGCCCTGAAACCCCACCCCCACCCTCACGCACAGGAATACCGTGACATTTAGATAATGTCTGTAAGTGGTGGTGTTCCCCAGAGAAAGAAGCAAGGGGATGAAAAGGGTGGGATGTCATGGTGTGAGGTAGTGGTTAAACTTCGTTAACCTATTACTTGATGCTATGTGTTAAAAGGCAATCTTATATTAAAATTATCTAATATTTTAATAGACCTTGTGATTTTTTTTCCTCTCTAGCTTTGATTTCTAACTAAAAATGTTTTTGGCTTTTTGCAGATCAAAGGCCCATTGCCAAAACACCAAAATCTCAAGACGCAGAGGAAGATGAGGGAGCTCAATGGAATTGTACTGCCTGTACCTTTTTGAACCATCCAGCCTTAATCCGTTGTGAACAGTGCGAGATGCCAAGGCATTTCTGAGCCACAAGGCCCAATATCTTCTCTAAAAAACCATAACAGATTTTCAAGGAACTGTTCTGTCATTGGGGGAAAAATGTTTCGTTGATACATAGGATTTTGCAAAATTGAAGGTGTGACAAGATGGTGTTTTGCTTATGTTAAATGGCAGCCCACAGAGATAACAATACCTCAGTGTTGTGTTGCAGGCAGTTGAAATTCATCACATGAAAGGTAATCTACTGAAAGACTTGGTTGCAGCTGCCTAAACCATGTACAGTATTACCAATATCCCATTAAGGATAACTCTTGTGTTCAATACGTGGGTGTTCCCAAAACAACTTTTCCCCCTATGTCACTACTGAATTTTGACAGGGGAAAGTAATAGAATGGTAGCTTTTTTTGTTTTTTAAAGCTTTCAGTGAAACACTACATAGATGGAAAAAATTAAAAAGGAACAAGATTTAACTATTTAAACTTTTGCTGCCACTTAGTGCCAATGGATAGGGGAAGAACTTGACAATTCTGTGGTACTCTTGGCTTTGTCTTTGTCTTCCCTGAAAACATCTCTACTCTGTGAAGTTAGCATCAGTCCAGTCATGTCTGAATATGAGAAGGGAAATAGTGTGCATTGTCTGTAGAGGACAAATGGTGAAATACCCTTGCTTTTCTTACTGTACATAGCTCTAGAGCCTGCTTTAAGTGACTTCTTTTCTTTATTATTTTCTCGTATTTCTCTATGTATAGTGTAATAGTCTTTTGTTAACTTTCTTTTTTCCCTTTTAGTGATTAAGCACGATCATGTCCTTTTTTTTAAAGCTTTATCTGAGAGAAGCAATGCCTTAAATTAAATAAAAAAAAAGAGCATTAATGAAATGAAACTATGCACAAAATAACTTTACTCATTCTGTGCCTTGCCCTTGTAAATGCTGTACTGTGAAGACCTGCAGATGCAGCATGGTAAAAATGCAGGAAATATGGGAAGATTTATGCATTTAGTTCACTCTGTACAATGAATTTTATGGTGGGTGACTCAGCAGTGTTTTGTCCTTCACAAGGCAACTTAAAACAACAGATTATCTTCAACCTACCAAGAGAGCAACAAGAATAAGCTTGCTTCATCCGCCTGGGGTGTTGCAGAACTTTCAAGAGATATTTATTGAGGAAGTACACACAATATCAAAACCAGCAACTGCATCACACAACCTTCCCCCCCCCCCCTTTTTTTTTTCGAGAGAACTTTAAATATTTTACTGTTTGGGCAATCAGTTTCTAAACCTGACTTGGTGGCAATGTCACATATATTTATAAAATGAGGCTAGCCATATTTAGGAAAACAGAAGAAAAGCTGGAAAAGGAAAAGCCAACAAGCAGACTTGAACACTGAAGCAAACCTCAAGCATCTCTTTATTTTTTTTTTTTAATAAGGAAAACTACTCAGATGATCAGGAATGTACGTAATTGAATGAAATCAAGCAAAAGGAATGACAGTATGCATTTATAAAGGACAACATGAAAGGAATTCTGTAGCAGCACTTAGGATGAGGCTAAAGGAAGTACTAAAATGTAGCAAAAGGCAAGAGACAAAGTAAACTGTCATCCACAATAAACATTTGCGAGTGGACATTTTAAAACGGAACAGGATTATTACAGTCGTAAGTGAATGCAAAAGCCTTGGCTTTGAGGGCTTTGCATTTTGTAGATGGGAAGAAATATGACAATCCCAAGTAGTTAGGCAGAAGAACCAAAGCACTTGCATTTGATGCGTTTTGTTTTTAAAACGAGGCCTTGTTTTTTTTCAGCTTCATCTGCAGTTCTATGTGAAGATTGATAAATCAGTTTTTACCTGTTTTATTAATAAAACCTAATTTGGATATCTTGAGTTGATGGTTTTGTGATTTAGATGGGCAAACTGTCTTTGTAACAGATAAGTTATTTATAAAAATTAAAAAAAGTTATATTCTAATGTTGAATTTTGTGACTTGTTTTTAACCTTGTAGAAGAGTGAGTAAGTATACTCCAGTGGAACATTAAATAAGCATTTGAACCAGGAAAAGAAATTAAAATGCAAAAATTCCGTATTGTGGTGTTAGACTGGTTCGCTTAGATTATTTTTCATCAGACCATTTGCCCAGCTTTCTCCACAACAGGTAAAAAGAAAGTTGTAAAACTATTTGTTGTTTGTTTTTCAAAGGAGCCAGGACAGTGAACAGTAAGTCTCTTTTTCAATAGTTTGTGGAGGGAGCCTTAATTTATGCAACTTTTCCTTGTATTTCTCTTCCATTTTAGAGGCTCACCCCTGTGATGAAAGTAAGTGAAAAACTGTGGTACAGTAGAAGGGGCACTGGGTGTGGCAGGAGGCGGCCTACGTTCACATCCTGATTTGGGCAGTTGCTGTTCCTGCCTCTCTGTAACCTTAGAAAAGTGACTTTGCCCTCTGGGCCTTGGTTTTCTCAGCTGTAAAAGGAGGGGGGATTAGAATAGATGACCCACCTCTATCTTGAGATCCTGTAAGTGGTTTCAGGTCACTTAAATTTCAGTGGAGATAACTTTCAAATGTAGACTTTCCAAAAATTGTGAATCCGTTACTTGACCTTGAGAACAGAAACGAATTGTTTTCTCTAAGATGGTGATAAAGGAAAAGCACATTCTTAAAAGAACTGGAAAAGGCACTGGGTGAATCTGTCTTGAAATACAACCGGAAGGAAACACATCCTGCAGTGAGGGAGGGTGATGCCAGCATATGTTGGTGCTCTTTAGACTCCTTGCAAATGATTGAATTGAAGTGGAATGTAATCGTGCAAACCTGAGATGGAAAGATTGGAGCCTTTTTGTTTTTCATCCATAATTATTCTTTGGTTCTGGTGTTCTTTGCATTTAAAAATGTATTGCTAGGCAGTTGATGTGAACTGTTCAAACTTCTCAGGGAAACATGTCTATGAAATTTGTCAGCTTTGCTCTTCTCTACCGACAGCTAGCACACATTGCTAAGATGCATTTCATACTGCATGTTTCTGTGTCCATATCTGTGGGGGGGTTTTTTTCAATTTTGGTAGAATTGATTATACATTTCTTTAGAAATTCCAGCTGCTTTTCTTAAATGAATGACCAGTCTGAGCTACATCCTACTACTTGGTTATGTTAATAACGGGAGATAGGAATTAAGCAGTTTCACATAATACATCGACCAAAAAGGAGCTTGTTTTAACCTGTTGCCTTTTTTTTTTTAACCACTGCTGCACTAAAATGTGGGGAAATTGACTGAGTGAGTTCATTGATTTTTCCCATCCCTGTTACACAGCAGCAGCAATACTGACAAGCAGTGACACAGCTAAAAGTAAAACAGAGAACTTACTCATCCCTTGATTAAATTGGAGTTGGCTGTATGGTCTCGATTGTGTTCAACCAGTAATTTGTTTAAGAGGCAGCAGCTAAACAGATGGCTGATATTTGTGAACTCGATGTCAGTATTCGTGATCTCATTGTGTTTTTACTATTCTAGAATACAAGAATTCTATTTCTAGTCATCTCTTCATATATCAAGTGGAATCAATGTTTTTAATTTAAAAAAATAAAATTACATTATTAATATCCATTTTACTTGAAGATTAAATGGCTGAAGACTACCTATTAAGTCATTACTTGTATGTGAGTAAATGTAATTGAGCTAGCTGGAGAAAATAAAAAGCCTCTTCTGAGGGAGAACAATTTAGCAGCTTTGTATTTGTTAAACTGTGTTTCTTACCTGTGTGATACCTTCAGGAATCTGGCTTTACAGGACAATTTTTAATAGTTAAATTTTGTAAAAAAAATGTCAAGTAATGTGTCATTTTAGTGTACTTATTCAGTGATTAACCTCCTACATTTCTGGCACATAGTGAATCAGATTAATAGTGACAAAGAAGGAATGAATTGCTATATGTAACTATTTAGGAAATCATGAGACCAGTAACAATTCCCTTAAAACTGCTACTTGTATAGATATAAATCTATGTAAATAAACATTAAAGGCAGCTTAGTCTACTGGATAGACGTACTACTGGACTCTGGGAGCCAGAAAAGTTGGAACCTTTTTCAGGTTTCACCATTAATTTACTGTGTAACCATAGGAAAGTTACCTGGTCGTTTTTCTGTAGGCTTCAAATCCCTGTCTTTTAAAGTAGAAATAAACATACTAGGTAGAACCCTATGCATCTCACAGAGATGTGGAGATAAGTGGCATTTCTAAAGTTCTCCCAGCTTCCCAGAGGAAAAGCACTATTTTCAAACGGTGGGTTCATATTTGCATCGATGAATTGTGCATGGGGTTTTGCCATTTTATGAACTTTTAAGAATTTTAAGTTCTTTTATCAGCAGTACTAATTACAAAGGTAAGTTTTATGTCATTTATCTCTGGAAGTACTCTATGGGGCATCTCTTCAGTGGATCAGATTTGCAGTTTCTGTAATAGAGTCCTTTTCCCCACTCAACTCCAAGGTTAGTTACCAATGGAAAAGATTATAAAGTTATTGAAGGTTAATATGAAGGATGCAGGTGTTTTTATAGTTTTGTTAAATGTCCAGCTATCTTAAAAATGTACTTTTATGATGAAGCATAACAGGCAAATTACCTTCTCCAGGACAATAAATACTCTTCAAAGGAAATGCTTCAGTGTTTGTCACTCTGCATATTTGTCTCATACTTAAAACTGACCCATACTTCAGTCTTTTGGCTTTCTATTCATACCTTCTAAAAAGCCCTCATTTTCCTTCTGAAGAGGATACTTCTTTCCCATATCATCTATGCAAGAAAACTGTTATAACACGCAGTCCAAGGGGTTTTGCACCTATCTCCATGGTATAGTCAGCAAACAAAACAAATCTTCACCTGAGAAATTATTTCTAGAAGTACAAACCACCTAATCCTTTCAGCCCACTGTTTCACATCTTCCTACCTCCTTGTTAAATCATTTGCAGTATTCTGAACTACAAAACTATATACCTTTTAGAGAAAATCTAGTCTACACACATAGGTTCCTTTAAGTATTGGAATCAAATTCTGTACTCTTCCCCCTGTCAAAATTAGACCATACAACCTAATGTGTTAGAAAGGACTTGGGCAGCCAGCTAGTCAAACCTGTATCTGAAAGAGGTTTCCACTGTCATACACTAAACAGCAAGTCATCTGGCCTCTGCTTAAAGACCTCCAATGAGGGAGGACCCACCTCATTTTGAGGCAAGCCATCTTCCTTTTGGGTATCTGAGGCTGATCAGAACTGTGCTTTAACCTTCAAATACTTACTGCTTATAGTTGTCTGAGTAGAATTGCATGGATCCAAAACTCTTCACCATCCTAGTTGCCAACCTTAGATGTGTGTGTTCTAACATATCATTATCTTTCCTTAACTGGCACCCAGAACTGAATATTTGTAATCTAGTTGTGGTCTGATTAAGAGAAGACACTATGAAGCCCAAGGTCACAGTTTTTTTCACATAAGTGTTATACTTCTAATTAAAATTACTATGGCAGCCCACTAAAATGCCCAGGTCTTATTCAGAAAAATTGTTGTCCAACCATACTTCCGCATCTTGTACTTGTAAAGATTTTTTTTAACCTAAATTTTAGAGGATTTTTAAGTTTCATCTTTGATTAGAGATGTCCAACATTCTATGAGAACTGAAACACTCCAGTGATGAACCAGATTTAAATGTAATTGGGAAGTCTTTAATAAAATAAAAATAAAGCATAGAAAACCACAAATTAACATTAAGTCAATATGCAGCCCACAGGGATCCTTATGTGTGGCTTAATGGCCACTGTCTTAAGGTTCAACACAAGGCTATGCATAGCCTGTTAAGATCTTTGTATCTCTGACTTGACCATGGTGTCATTTGTCATCAGTTTTCTATCATCTGCAAATTTGTTGAACAGTTCATCTAAACTTTATCCAAGTCACTTAAATGAAAATATGAAATAGTGCAGGGTCAAGTGCAAATCCTTGAGGTATTCAATAATTTGTTAAGTACCTACTATGTCTAATCAGTGAGAATACATTCCCCCCCTCAAAAAAAAAAAACATGAAAGCCACTGCTGTCAAGGAACTTATACTCTGTCAGGGAAGCCAAGTTGACCTTGAATGATTAATAACTTCATTGAATGTAGCCTTTCACTTACTCCCAATTATCACCTACTCTCCATCTTTCCACCTTTTAGACAAAATGAGTTATGAGCTACTTTATTAAGTGCTTTGCTAAAACACCTACAATATTCTTATTTATCAACCAGCTTAGTAATAATGGCAAGAAAGAGAAATGAGGTTACACAAACATGACCTGTTCTTTAAAAAGTTGTGCTAGCTATTTGTAGCCAACAGGTTCCTTTTCTAGCTGTTTACTAGCCATTCATCTCTGATCATTCATTCTAGAATTTGCCCGAATTAAAATTAAGCTTATTGGCCTATAAATCCCAGACCATTCTCTTCCCTTTTAAAAAAAAAAATCAGAACATTTGTCCCTTTTCAGTCTGGTGGCAATTTTCATTTTCAGTGGTCTTTTAGATATCACTGAGTATGACTCAATTCTTTCAGTACTTGATACAGTTCATGTGACTTGAATTCATGAAGGACAGACCCGGATTAGATTTCTCCTTATCAGTTCCTCTACCTTTTTATGAACAAAATTCTCATTAGAACAAATGGAGACATCCTTGGCAGCTCTTTTAGCAGAAAGCTTCACCTTGTCTAGAGAATTTGAGTCTCATCACTATTATCTAAAAAGCAGTGTGGCATAAAGGATAGGTAGCTGGTATCAAACCGAGTTCTGACTCTTTTCCACTTCTGATATATACTGGCTGTGTTACGTCAACTAAGTCACTTGATCTTAGTGCTCTAAGCAATTCTTTAAGACTACGAATTGCAGAGGAGGTAGTTTCTCAACTGGAAATTCCCTGTGTCAATTAAATCACAGGTCCAATATTACTTAACCCTAG